CCCCCCCCCCCCCCTCCCTGTGCTAGGGGCCCGGGCCAGAAAATTGGTACCAGGGCCCGAGATGGGATGTGGCGGGCCTGGTTCCCAACAATTGTGATTATAAATCACTCTGGATAATTTGAATTCATAGGTTGCCTACCCTTTTGGGGTCTAAGACCCCTATCACCTAACCTCAAAATCTTCGACATGTCCACACTCTCCCTATATAGGTACTTTAGCGTTAACGACCCCATCAGTGAATTTTCGGAAGCGGAGTCGCGGAAAATCGGATCAGACTTGGCAACCCGAGGCGGGAGCATCTCAATTTGTTTTTGTCGCGGCATCGGCGGGCGGGCGGTGCGCGGAGAGAGGCATCAGTTCTCACGCGCACTCACGATATCGGAGACAAAATTATGCAACGCGGAATCGGCATGACTCGACGTCGACATCGACGGACGACCGGGCCCGACGTTGTCGAAACGGCAGCTCCGTGTCATCCGCCACGTTCGGCCCAGATATTCCCACCGCCCGGTCCGGCACCGTCCCAAACGAAACTTCTCAGCTGCGAGGCGTAAATAATCGATTATCGATGTTCACCCATTTGAAACATGGTAAAGAATCGATTATTAACGAACACCCTGTCTATCGATCCTTTTCCGTAGGTTTTAATGCCGGATCAATCGATTAATCGCAAAGCTTGCCACGCCAATAAAACGTCTCATGTCCCGCCAAACTGAGCGGCCGTTAACCCAGTCCGATCCGAACTCGCACCTTCCGCGATAACAATTTTTTTTTACCCCTCCCCCCCTCCGGCCCATCCGCGCGCTTTGTCAATCGCCTCGTACTACGTGCGCTCTTGCAGTCTCCGTGCTCTTGTTTTGGAACTCCTGTAATCTTCCACTCGTGCGCGCTAACCTCGATCCGGGGTAATATTTTGGTAAATCGTTCGTGCTCGAAGAGTGGAAATCGCTAATGGTCCAGTTGGACTACATTTTGCAATTTGGAACTATAAATTCTAGCCCGGTTTAAAAACAACGTATGTACCATTAGTTTCCCTATGCACATAAGTGTTTTTCCAGAAGAGCCAGAATTTATAGTTCCAAATTGCAAAATGCAGTCCAGTTGTTAGAATACTGCCGTGCTGAGGAAGAACGCCGTATGAACCCTCAGGCGTTGCCAAATTTCCTTTGATGAAACGCGGATCTCCTGGTAAATTTATGACTATTTTCCTCCCGATTTTTCAGATAATTTAGTTCGCAATTTCACCTGAAGTTCCCGAAAATTTCAAGGAAAAACATTCACAACTTGCTTCAAAAATAAACTTTTTATCGGAGGAAATTTGGCAATTCTCGAATTTTCATACGGCGTTCTTCCTTGGCTCGGCAGAGTAGTGCAGGTTATCATTCTCTCAGCTATTCTTGGAGGGTGGGAATTCGAACATCATCGCGTTATCGGCGTGAGGGTGACTGCCAGTGGCGTAAATGTTGGGCCGGCAGGGCCCGCAACGCGAGAGGGGTCCCTCAGTTCCCAGGGGCCCAGTCGCCTGCTGAAGTTTTGAAAGGACCCGCACACTCCTTCTGGAAAATTGCACTACGATGGATTTCCAATTTTTTTATTGCATTAAAATTGTTTTTGGATCCCGCTGGGAAATGTTCTCCTGCGTGTGATTCGTAAAGAGGCGCCAAGCACTGACGCGCAAATTATGACTTTACTATCCTCGAAATAATTTTTAATTTTTTTCGTGATATGAGGCATGAATCATTTTTTTTTTTCGCAATACCTAATGTTCTTTTTTTCTGTCAGCGTGCGTTTGATTTTTTTTCGTATTTTTAGTGATTTCCGTAACTCCTGTTTTGCACCATATTTTTTTTTTCCCCCAATTATTTTTGGCTATCACGCACGATATACCGCGCTATATTATACGAATACATACAAAATTGCTAATTTCTGTTTTTCTCTTTCTGTTACAGAATGGCATTGAGGGTGTTATTTGCCTGTGATTACTTGAAGCGCAGGAAAGGTAAGTCGAAATGATGCGCAGTTGCTTTTACATACAAGTCCTTTGTTTTCTCTCGCTGACGGTTTCCGCTCCTTGTGACGCAGCGCACCTTTGCTGCCTACAGTGGTGCCAAGTTTCGAACCATGTTGACTTAATACTCCCGTGTCACCTAAGACAGCAAAAAAGTCTTTTCGTTATAAAGTTCCCTTCAAAATTTGACTGACGTTGAATCAATGTAAATTAGCTAACTGGTGCAGCTAAATAGTAAAATTCGTATTTTTTGCCAGAAACGAGAGTTTTGAGGAAGAAGTGAGTGCGCTCAAATATTTACGCCATTTCAGACAAAACAAAATATTATCCTCACTATTCTTCGGTTTTTCGCGAGAGAGCAGTATCTTTTCCTATTCATAGCTTCCCCTTTTGCCAATTTCTATCCTTCACTGAAAAAAAAGTATCTTGGATACCGAGTCCTGACTCTTGAAAAATTTGACTTGCGATTCTAGTAAATATCAGATTGAATCTTTGAAAATACCGTTTTCAATTTGAAACCCCAGTATAGAACTTATTTTAAGGCTTTAAAAGTTGAGTTTTTGTTCGAACTTCTCCTAGGCTGCTCCTCTGCGGACAGACAGACATGGTTTTTCAACGAAATTACTCAAAAACAGCTCAATTCTTCCGGATGTAGAATTGATTGCAATTTATACATAGAACTAATAGGCGCAAATCGACTGTGACACTGCAGAAATGCGTATCTCAGTTCGCGGCGCCGCAGACTTTTTGCCATACCCTATTTTCCACTTGGAAAATTAATACTTGTCATTTTTTGAAAATTTCAATAGTTTTGCTCCTCTTAATAAAGATTATTCTGTGAAAATTTTAAACCTTGATATTTTTTCGGCCTCCTTTTAAAATATAAAATAAGAGTAAATTTTTCAAAACACCGCAATCGAATCACGCATTTCTGCAGTTTTTCCGTCGATATACGCGTTAAATGCGCCAGGATCGGGAGGTTCGGCAACAGTGGCGCGCTCCCCTCGGTTTACACTCGCGCCACGCGCATTCGGTGCGCAGTTGCAACTCCGCGCCCGGGACCATTTTTTCCCTTTAATCCGAAGGGTCATTGCACCCCGAGCCTCCCCTCGCTGCAGCTTCGGGAACCCTCCCTCTCTCCCGGAGAGCGTGTCACTGAAATTTATGAGCGAACACGAGCTTTTGCCGCGCCGGGGATGAAGGGACGTCCGCCCGGGGTTGGCGGGGTTGGCGGGGTTGGCGCGGCTCAACCTCAATAAACCCAAACCTGTTATTTTGATCATTATAAACCCAGGAGCGCTCCCGGCTCCCGGCAACTTGAGATTAGTTCACCCCTTCCGTTACCTTTGCCCCGCCGCGCGGCGGGTCCTGAATCCGGGGACGGGGCCGATCGGTTGACGGATGAAAAATTTGACCGTAACGCCCCACACGCTGGACGCATTTCTCTACCGTATTTTTTTTCCTTCTCGCGCGCCCAAGGGTTCGGAAGCTGCAGGTTTTCTCGCGACTGGGGAAAGTCAGTGAGTTGGTTGAAATGGAGATCTCACACACCGGGGAAAAAACACATTGGGTCTAGTGTACAGACTTTTAAAAACATCGACAAGAAAAAATACTCTCGATTCAATCAGATTTAAGCTTAAATCAGGAACCAAGTCTCTTAATTTGAGCGGATTTCCTTTAATTTAAGCTTAAATCGATTGAATCAAGAGTCCTTTTTCTTGTCAATGTTTTCAAGAGTCTGGACTCTAGATCCAATGTGTTTTTTTTCTTTCCAGTGCAGGTGTCAGGGATTAGCGATTTAAGTACAGATTCCTATGTCAAATTTGGCGAGAAGCTCAAGGGCGCCATTGTTTTTTTTCTAAAACAAACCCCGAAACTTGAACAAAACTCTCAAAGTTGACGTCGTAATGAACATTCGAGTGTTGCCAAATTTCCTTCGACAACATGTTCGTTTTACAGGGAAGTTATGAATATTCCTCCTCTACATTTTCAGAATCTTCTGGTGCAATTGCGAACAAAATTATCTGAAAAATTTGGAGGAAAATATTTATAAGTTTACCAGGAAATTCGCGTTATATTAAAGGAAATTTGGCAACGCCTGAATGTGCGTCCTCAGCATGGCAGTACTGCCGCTCCTTCCGCGGCCTCAGAGGCTCAGGGAGCCTTTTCGGATGTCACCGCATGGGAGATGCTAGCCCACGTTTGAGCTCACACAGTAGTACACGAGTATAAGTGTGAGTTAGAGTGTGACCCCGTAGGAAGGGAAGTGGCAAGATTACGGATGCGGAAATTCAGCGGGCCGATCGGATCGTGTCGTGAGGTTGGCGGACGAAGTGCTGCTCGCCGTGCGCCGCTGTGTCGTGCCCCCAGATGTCGTTAACGTCGCTTTTCGCCCCTCGTCGTGAGCGGGGTTGTTGTCGCAGTGTTCGGATAATTCGCCTAATTCCACACTTCCATCGAAAAATGGATACTAGCAATAACATGGTCGAGAGTTTCCTGAGTAGGGAGATGCTGTTTGCCCAACAAGGAAAAGTTCCTAAAGTACTGCAACTTGCGGTCCTTGACTACCGGAAACAACGCAGGTTATTCGAGAGGAAGCCTGGTAAAAAAGTTTTCCGAACAAGGGAAAGATTCAAAGTTTAGGCCGCTGAATAGGGTTTCCTTTCCCGGGCGCGCACAGGGAAAACACTGGTTATTTCTTAAAAAATACTTTTAAAACGCACTTCTGCGGAATACACCCTCTGCACCTCCTCAACCCATCACCACCTTTTTTCTGTTTCATTATTCGTCTTTTCAAAGGTGGAAGATCGTAACTACATTTCAACTTTCCAAAATGTCTACTGTTAAATTGTGTCGCCTATATTGAATTGTTGGATCCATTTAGCATCCTCAAAGTAAAGTGCAGTTTTTCTTCCTGGGATCCACGCATTGGTCAGACTTGTGCAAAATGAGGCCATGGACTAAGTTTTTGCGAAGTCAGGGAATTCAACCTAACCCTGAAAACTCAGGAACTGCTGCTGCGGAGCCATTAAATCGTTCACTCTAGCTATAACGACGCACTTTTCTATTTCAAGAGCCTGCAAGCTTGAACTTTTTACAGAAGATTATTTTCATGAG